CTTCTAACCTCCTCTATTCTCTACCAGCTTCTACCCTCTTCCATTCTCCACCACCTTCTTCCCTTTTCTCCCCTTCTCCTTTGCCATCCCGCTTCTCCCTTGCTCCCGCTTCCTTCATCTTCCACCGAGCTTCTTCCCCCTCCTCCTTCTCCACTCAGCCTTCTCCCTTCCTCCTTCTCCATTACCTACTTCCCTTCTCCCCTTCCTCATTCTTCACCAGTTCTAATCCCCTCTCCTTCATCCATCAGCTTCTCCCCTCCTCTCTTCTTCCATACCACCTTCTTTCCCTTCTCCCTTGCTCCTTCTTTCCACCGCTTCTCCCTCTCCCCTTCCTCATTCTCCACCAGCTTCTCCCCCTCCTCCTTCTCCCCTTCCTCCTTCTCCACCAGCTTCTCCCCCTCCTCCTTCTCCACCAGCTGGTGTCTTAGCTGAAGTGGAAATCGCCATATTTGAGCATATATGCAAAGTGCGCATGCGCATACGCAACCTATATCATATATTTCGCAGGTCAGAAATTTCGCACACAAAGACGAGCTGTGATCAGTCGGGTCGGGACGCATGCGAAGTGCGCATGCGCATACGTGTACGCATGCGCATAGGCATCCTATCTCAGATATTTCGCAAGTCAGAAATTTCGCGCTACACCGCGTTCATCCTAACGCATTGTGTGCATAGGGTACAAGGTACAGAATACCCCAAACCACACATGCAATACTTTCATCCAGAATTGAATTAATTATTAACTATATACGCATCTGTAAAAATCTTCTTTATTCGAACACCTCACTTACGTAAGGGAGACCGGCCGAACTGAACTGATCAACTGAATCGCAGTATTACAATTGAATTCGACTTGATTTCAGTGAGGCGAATTTTTTTATTTTTTTAACTTTTTTTTTAATTTTTTTCGCCTTCTAAATCTTAGGGGGGCGACCACCCCCATCGCCCCCCCCCCCTTGGCTACGCCACTGGACTCTGCCTTATTAGGCGTGGATAATACAGGTCAAATCACACTGCCATTGCGCAATGCGCCTTATTAGACCATGCCCATGCGCAATGTAGAGGGGCACGTTTGCTATGGGGGGGGGGGGATTTATACAAGGAAATGTTGGCGTCGTCGCGAAAATAAAGACAAATCAAGTGTTAAAATAAAAAGTGTCTACGAATCGTTTTTAGATGTTAACTAAAAATGTGTATGTAATGTCCATTTCGGTCCATGAGATTGAAGCAACTATTTTCACGTTCGTCACAACTAGGCATTCTTAGCTCATACACGCATCCCCGCGGCATACCGGGACGCTGCATGCATCACCAATAACTAATAAACATTGCGGGTCGATTACAAGGAATGTAATGAGCGATACTTAACACGTACGACCGCGCGCGTTTAACCAGTGAAAACAAACGATTAGTTGCCAAAAGAGGATGGGAATAATATATAGGAGTGATTTAAGGACCTACTACGGAATGTATTGTATAGGCAACCACACCTACGTTTACACACACGCATGCACGCAAGCAAGCAGGCAGACACGCACGCAGGCAGCCAGGCAGGCAGGCACGCGTGCACGTACCACGCACGCACATTACACGCACGCACGCTCGCACGCACGCAAGCAAGCAGGCAGGGACGCGCGCGCAGGCAGGGACGCACGCACGCACGCACGCACGTACCGCGCACACATGTTCACGGTCGGCGATGACCAGCGGTGTTCGGAATCACTCGAAGAACGGATTATCACAGCCAGCAGATTTCAAAGTTAATATTGTTGCTCTGCGTGGAGCCGGAGATATACAGATAGTTACTACTTCCAAAAATATCCGTATGGTTCTTCAACCTCTACCTATAAGTTAACTACGTACATCCCTATCATTATATAGAACATTATGGGTGTACATGAGTGTCGTAATATTTTTCATCGGGTTTAAGAAGGACCCAATGACGCAGACTTATTATAATGCAGATTAACATAGTATAATGTACAAATATTTAAGAAATGTCCAAGCGTGTCCAAATGTCCATTGTGTGTGTGCGTGCGTGCGTGCGTGCGTGCGTGCGTGCGTGTGTGTGCGTGCGTAGACATAAATCGAGACAAAATGTTAGCCGACCGACAATTTTACAAAACTACGGGCCACCACGTACCTGGCACTACCAGCTCGTTACAAAGCAACAAGTTCGAGCTTCGAACATCTCTCTCATCGTTCAACATTCACTCGGTCTTATCACCCTATGAGAATCTGCGGGATGCCCTCTGTTCGCTATCCTCTGTGTATATACCCTGCGCAGACAAAGAAACTCCCGGCTGTGAAAGTTTCCATTGTCTTGTCGATGAGAGATAAGCTACGCTCACAGAGCTACAATAGATGACGAAATATTTGCTATATCACAGACCTCGCAGCCTTTATCACAGACATTATGCAAATACATAGCCATCACTCGCTTCTTGTCATGCAAGTGTAGTCTGGCAGCCGAACCCAAGTCAGTACATTTGCCGACTGCATACGCCTATATAAACATGTTACGCGTTGCCGTGCGTGCGTGCTGCGTAGCGATAATCACGAGTCATTGATCTCACATCATGTATCAGGGCGGATCTTACTGGGGGGGGCCGCGCCTATATCAACACCCTCGTCGTTAGGCCCAGTACTGCGCAGCGCGGTTAAACCCCCCTTTTGGCCTGCCCGGACTCCCTAGCAAGGGTTGCCCTTCGCACGCTGGGGTTGGTCCAAGCGATCACCTCAGGTAACCCCCCCCCCCTTAGTTAAAACCTAGATCCGACCCTGTGTATGTATATATCATAGGAGATTGCATGTACGCGCGGGCATTACGTATGCGTACATGCGTGCGTACAATCGAGGGTAGAAAGGCACCGGATAGAGCAGTGAGCGAGGATAAAACGGGCAACGCGCTTGCAATAAGGTATATATTATGAGTAAGCTCGTGAAAAAGAGAAAGGTTCACTCTTACCTACACACCAAAGTAGAATTGGCAAACTCGATCCAATCCAAACGACATTCGACTTTTGAAGATCACACTAACGTAACGATCATGAAGGCACCACGAACAAATCTACATTTTTTAGATTATGAACTAAAAAGGAGAAATTATAAGAGGCTGAATCGCTATAAGAACAGAATATACTAAGTAGAAAACTGGTATATAAACTGTTAGGGACGAGTTAGGTGCAACTACCCGCAATATTACGTATAATACAATAAGGCTATGTATAGAGTTACTATTTATATTCATCCACAGGAGAGCAAGTTTTACAACTTGAATCATTGATATCAGCTGTGACTAGAACGAGGGTAATAGCCGTTATTTACAATATTACTAATAAACAATATAGTTCAAATAATACTTCCATCTCTTAACACGAAATGGCATAGTTATATCAATATACAGTTGTGTATAGCTCTTCGGTAGCCAACTACAGTGTTGTCAAGACTGACAGCAATTAATAATATCGCTGGTACACCAACCAGATTATGAGGCAGCACAAATATACAAGTCAATACCCAAAACTAATTAAAACCATTTGCACGCATCACCTACGACGAGACAAAACATATGCGTGTTGCTGGTCAACTCACCAACTCTAAAAAACTTTTGCCAACGTGAACATATTTACTGCATTCTCCGAAAAATAACAACTATTTCCGGCTGCTCTCTAAGGGGGAGTTAAATACCACGAGCCACCACCTCTTATTATTTTATCTCTTAGGGCTGATGTTAGATTGATTCTCGGAATCAGTAGGAGGAAAGAATAGGCTTGTTTCATTCTGCATTATGATGGGTTTCACTGATTTAAAAAAATTTTCCACTTACCTTAGCAAATTTCCAATAACTTTTTTTCACAAAAATGTATTTACTTACTAATTTTTTATGTAACCAATAGCATGGCTATTTTCGTTTGGCTAAAGGTCTGTTCTGCGTAGCGGTATACTCTTTCCAATTAGTACTACACTACACTACACTACACTACACATTTTATTTCAGATGTACAGATAAATATGCATACTATATGTGTCGTGTAGCGTGATATATGCAAAATACACATCACTTACATATTGCAATAAAATTACACCGTTCCATTATAAAAAGAATAGTAAAGTAAACACTTCGTATTTCGACAGCAGGGGAAAAAATTCCAGTGAGATCGCATTCAATTCAACCAGACACAATGCCTAAACTAGGAGCTAACACGGGGCCACGTAAAAGCCACCACCAGCATTCTCCTCTGACCAGCTCATCCATCCCATCCATCGAATTTCCATACGATGGTTCTTGTGACTAGCTAGTTCTCGCGTAAATACCTAGTCACAGCCTTCCTATGACATGCTCAAACCATAGGCTAGTCCTCGCTTAGCTATTCTGGTGATTAGCTAGTCCCTATTGTCCTCAAACTATTCCTTGTAACACTTCGTGCCATTAGCTAGTTCTTGTGTTGAGCTAGTAGCTCATGTGATTAGCTGACTCATAGAATAGCTAGGGTGATCATCATCTTTATGAATGTCTCGTGATTAGTTCATACTCGCGAATAGCTAGCCGCCAGCATCATTACGATTATCTCATAAGCATTCTCCTCATTAGCTAGTCCTCGTGACTAGCCAGTCTTCGTGATTAGCTAGTCCTCGTGATTAGCTATTCTTCATGGAAAGCTATTTTTCAAGATTAGCCAGTCCTCCTGATTAGCAGGTCCTCGTGATTAGCCATTCCTGGTGATTAGCTAGTCCTCGTCATTAGCCAGTCGACATGATTAGCTATCCTCGTGAGTAGCTAGTCCTCGTGAGTAGCTAGTCTTCGTGATTAGTTAGTCCTCGTGACTAACCAGTCTTGGTGATTAGCTAATCCTGGTGATTAGCTAGTCCTCATTATTAGCCAGTCTTAGTGATTAGCCATTCCTGGTGATTACTCAGTCCTCGTGATTAGCTAGTCTCCGTGATTAGCCAGTCCCCGTGAGTAGCTAGTCCTTGTGATTAGCTAGTCAGCGGTGTCCTCAGGACTTGCGCACCACCGTGCTCGTGCGCCAGCGCCACAGCGACGCGACCGACGCCGCCGCCGTCGACACGAGCCCGCCGGCGATGCTCGGGGTCGCGTGCGCGTGCAGGTCGGGTCGGGTCGTCGTCGAGCGCACGCTCGCCATCGAGCTCTCACCGCCGCCGGCGCCGCGCGTCGCCACGGACGACGGCTCGGCCGCGCACGGCACGTTCGTGTCGACGACCGTCTCCCAGTCGCCCGCGAGGTCGTCATCGTCGTCGTCGTCGTCGTCACCGCCGCCGTCGCTGTCCGTTGCCGCGCTAAGCTCCTCCCAGCTGACGTCGTCGACGAATTGCACAATCTCGAGGCCAACCTCGAACGGACCCGACCTGCGGAAGATGGGCAAGGTCAGTTACCATGGCAACGCGCGACGGGCGGGGTAGCGACAGCTGACGGGCGATTGATAACGTGAACGCGAGACCTGAAATTAAAGTCATATCGCACCCGGCGCACTGTCACGGCTGGTATTTTTGTGGAGCTTTCTCCGCGACTACTATCCGCGGCTGCTCTTCTACGACATGAGCGAAGAATCCGAGTGAAATTGTCGGCGCGATGACCGCGTCTCGACGTACCTTCCGAGATCGCTCGTCTCTTCGTTGAGGCAGAGCAGCAGGTTCCTGATCGTCTGCTGTCCGTGCAGAAGGTCGGGATTCACGTGCTGCGTGAAGCACAGTTGCAGCACGTTGACGTTGAGCTTGGACACAGCGCGAGCGAACGCACGCTCGCTCAGCTCGGCCGTGCAGAACTCACTGTAACGTAAACACATACAACGTGAGAGATCAGTGTAACATCCACACGCGAAATTTATATGAACGACACTTCGTAACGTAATGGTGCGTGCGATGCATATACGAGACGTAGGCATTCGTGTCACTTCGATTTATTCGCGACACGCTGTGATATAGGTGCCGTTCAACGGTTTTAAAACCGTAAGCGTATATGTGCGAAGGTTCGACACGTTGATGCAACATTCATGGATGTTTATGTCACTTAGTGGGAACCTCTCATGCACAGAACGTGATAACACGATGTAGATGTCAACCACGCAACATTACATTATTGTGCAAGTGTTAAAGCCTCACATCAACCCCCAGCAATGTTACATTAGGTTAAAATGACTGTAGCAACATGTGTGGGCATTATGCACACCTATAGCTCTGTTTCCTCGGCAGAATCACGTCCAGATAGAAGGTGAGGATGGATACAAACTGGCTTGTATTAGACAGGCCCGCGGTTATCGTGTATGCTGGATTCCGCTGATTCGTCTCCGAGTCCGGGCTCCTTGCCGTGGATTTGCTCTCTGAAACTATGCACTACATGTCAACCTCATTAGCAAAGCATTAGGCATTTCAGGATGGGTTAGGCCACATTCGACACCTACTGTGTGGCACTTTTAAAAAGTGTGCTTGCACAGAGCCAAATGTGAAGTAGTCCATGTGGGACAATAAATTAGTTAGCGGCATGATATATGAATAAACTACTCATAACATTGCATATACATAGATTCACGATACTACTATGAAGCTATTGTACTAGATCACGCATTACGCAGTCGATTACAGCATTTCACGCAGCTCGACGGGGTGAAATCAGGATGTACCGCATAAAAAATAATGCTCACCCCACGCAAAACACGGCGTATAGTCGCCGTTGCTAGGCAGGGTCGGTTCGACGACCTTGTACTGCAGTTCGCCGTCTATGTCGGAGTACACCCAGCGCCCCCTGATGTACGCCGTGTGACGAGCCTCGGCTAGAGCACTCACTGTACTCAGTTCCATCACGTCAATATCGCTGTAATGATGATACACACACACACACACACACACA